GTTAGTATAAACTTGTTTTATTTTCCCTTCTAAACACAAGGCAGGATTGGATGTCTCCCTAAGTTGGGTAGGTCCGATCATCTGCCTAATAAGAGAGAAACACATATCGTTTGTGTAAGTATCAATGGTTGTTCTCATATGATTGTCGTTACGGAGGCTAAGCGTACCCTTAAGTTAGGGCGGCTTAGTCACACGTCGTTGTACTTGTTCAGGCAGATCCTGCCCTATGTAACTATACTGTTTAGGCCAGCCWGGCGTACCCTTAAGTTAGGGCGGCCTGGTGATAGGCTCTTGTCGTTGACGTGATGTAGGTTGGACGTACCCTTAAGTTAGGGTGGTCTGACCATTCGTCGTTTGCGTTTGTTCTGTAGGTTGGACGTACCCTTAAGTTAGGGCGGTCTGACCATTCGTCGTTCGTGCTTGTTCTAGGCAGGTTAGGCACACCCCTAAGYTGGGGCAGTCTAATCCTATGCCCTATGTAACTTTGTGTAAGGCTGGCTAGGCATACCCTTAAGTTAGGGCAGTCTAGCTTTACGCTTCATGTGGTCAGTTCAAGCAGAAGTCAGGCGTAACCTTCAGTTAGGGCGGTCTGGTCATATGCTTTATGACTAGAGTTTATCTGGAGTTGGGCATACCCTTAAGTTAGGGCAGTCCAGTTGTGCAAACTTTTACTTGTTTACTTAGGCAGGTTGGACATACCCTTAAGTTAGGGCCTTGTCTGATCCTATGCCATAAGTGAGGGGGTTATTGAAAGGGAACAACTGAGTGATCTAAYGAACTACCTGGGCAAATGTATGTGGGATTGTGAGAGATGCATGCTCATGTATGATTGTAGGATCTCACTTGGGGTGTCTTTTCGATAGGTTAGTTGCTTTAGATGCTCGCCAAGTGCGGGAGCCATAGGTAGGTCAGATGGATGTTGGGAGGGAARACTTGGGATGAGGATAGGACTGGCCCTGCTAGGGGTTAGGCCCAATGCTAGCCCACGGTCTCTTCCAGAGGTTRTGTAAGCCGTCATTGATCCTGATTCATCAAGCAGGCGTCRGYAGTTAGTCCCAAGTGTAGTTGCTTTGTCTTTCTGTTTTTTCAGCTTTGTATAAATCTTGGTAGCCTCMTGTTCSTACGGGAAGCGYTGCYGGAATTTTTACAAATCTGAAAGGGTTAGTCATTTTTGGGCTCTTAGAAATTCTGAAAAGGCACTTTTCCTACGGGAAGCGCTGCCGAAATTTCGTGAAATTTTGGGAGTTAGAATATTTTTCAGTTGGAAGTTACTTACCAGATCCTAACTGATTAGAGGAGGTGTTCAACTAATTGGTACTAGTAGAGGAGCTAGAGTACGACTAAGGGGAATGATCTCCCCTTGGCACAGGTATAAGTAGTACTTTCCTTTGGCATGTACTGTGATGCWGGTTWCCGTGTTGTCGCTTGAAGGCTTGATCTAATCAAGCTATTTCGTCAAAAGGATTACTCTTCTGTTATCGCTGATAACAGGTCGGTTGCCGATTCGTCGGTCTACGACTCAACCCCAATTCACCCTCAATACTCAGCCCAAAGAGGCTTTAGCCCTGGTGATTTTATTTGTTTTGTTAAGGTTTCACCCAGACCCAGACTTCTATTGAATGGCCATCTAACAGAAGTATTGAGTACTTACTTATGGTTGGTTGGCTGGAGGTTGGGGCTTGCATGACTAAAGCACAGGGTATGAGTGGAGAGGTTGGTTGAAGTTGACCCCGTGTAGCATGTGGATCTTTGCTTGATATCGTGGTGTGATTGCAGGTATGTATGGAAGAGTCTCGATTGATTTATGTTGAGTGGTATTGCGTGGATTTAGATGGGCAGACCACACAACTGTCGTGAGAGTGAACAGCCCCACAACCTTTGTGTTTGAGTGAGATTGTGCTACCCTCGTTCTGCTGAGGTGATAATCCAAGTAAACATTCGGGTAAACCCCCACAGGGCTAATCCCGACGGTGTCCTTTCTGTTGCTGTTGAGAACARTTGTTTTTTTTATTATTATTTATTTATCCTTGTTGAAAATTATTTTGGTGGAACGGTAAGGTTCCGGGCGGAAGGGTTAGCGTGTCGCTGGTGATGCGCCAGACAACTCACCACCGCTACAAATTCCTTCCTGCCCTAGGGGCCGTCTTACCCCGCACCCTTTGGGACACCTCAGGGTGCAGAAGACGGAAAGGCCCTCAGGCCGGTTTTGCGCCCACTAAAAGGGTACGCCCCCCCTTAGCGCGCGCTTCATCCAATGCCTGAGCGTCGGGAGCCACCCCATAACCCAGAATAGGCCATTCGGGTATGGGCACCACATAATGCGCCGTCATCGCTTTTATCTGCGTAGGACTGCATTACAAATCGGTATGCGTGGGCCCTACGTTCGCGCGCTCTTATACTAAACCTCGCGCAAGGCAGTTACCGACTTCCACTGCGTAGAGTTATGGGTCGGATACTGAAGGGAATAGGAGTGTTGTCGGGTTGTGGTGTTATTTGTGGAGATTGTTGTGTGTGCGTCCGTATGTTACGCGTGGGTAAGCGTGGGTGTTGTAGTGTAACGCGTGGGTGTGTAGTGCGTCCTAGTCGACCGACGCCGAATCGTGTCTGGGAATTCAGCCCCCCAGTATGACGACTCGCGTACGGGTTCGATTTCGGGCGTTCGACCGCACGTACCCCCTATGCTACAGCGAACGAGAAACGCCCTCGGTTGGGCCACCTCTGCAATTGCATATGAAAAGCTTCGCATGTGGTTCAGTAGCTCAGCAGGGATACGCCCACCTAAGGGATGGTGACAGCTCCCGCAGGTGGAGGTAGCGGTGCCTCGCGTGAGGTACGGCTGGCGCACTCAGACGGAGCGGCAAACGCTCTCCGCGACAAGTCCAGCATAATCCTCCGTGACGCGGCCGGGAGGGTCCTTGTGTGGGACCGATGCGCTCGATTGGTGGCGCTGTTGCCGGGGATCTCGGCTGCCTACCGGGGTCCTTTAGAGAACGAACCCAGGTTAAGTGCTGGCTGATGATCTAAGCAAAACGACAAAAAGTTATAGGAGGGTTGTATATGACGTCATAATAAGACTGAGTGATATGGTATGCGATTAAAGGTTGTATAAAGGGCGCGAATGATTAATGGTGGAGCGGGTAGCTAAACTTAAGGGTGGAATGGTCAAGAAGAACGTAGGGCAGACCCTTTAAACTTGACGAACTGCTTACCGATCTATCCCTTGTTACTCCTGTCAGGTTGGTTAGCAAAAAAAGGTGAAGATGCCGGACGCTGATGAAATCGAGCGTGGCCCGGCCGCTATGCCAGAGGATTTCGTCAAGGCAGCGAGAAAAGGGAGTTGGCACGACTTCAAGTGCCGAAAGTTAACATCTTCCATTTTAATGGGGACATAGTATTCGAGTGGCTGGAGCTGCTGGAGCAGGTTACGGCCGAGGTGCCTGAGGCAGATAAATTCAAGTTCCTACCCAGGTACGTCTGGTGGGAAACTCGGCCCGAGGTAATGAAGGTGGCTGCTGGAGCAGGAGGAGACTGGGCTAAGTTCAAGGCAGAAATGCAGAGGCGGTTCAAGTTANACTCGGCCCGAGGTAATGAAGGTGGCTGCTGGAGCAGGAGGAGACTGGGCTAAGTTCAAGGCAGAAATGCAGAGGCGGTTCAAGTTAGGGGATGGTTTGTTAACGAAGACAGATTTGGAGATGTTACAGCGGGACGAGTTCTCCACGGTGGGAGCTTTCGCAACGGCGTTTCAGAAGATGGCCAAGAAAGTCCCCGGATTGGCAGAAGAAGAACAATGTGCCACTTTCCTGGGGCACTCCAAGAATTGGGAGGCCTCGTCGCTAACCAAGAAGGCTGCGCCAGGAAAGAAGCTCACTTGGGCCGCCATAAAGGAGGGAGTAATAGAAGGAGAGCTGGACCAAGTAGACATCTTCCAAATGCGACAGGCTAGGAAGAAAAGAAAGGCCTTGGACGCCACGACGAGCGGCGGGCGAGACTTCAAGAAACTGATAGAAGATGCAGTGGCCCGGCTCGATGCGGAGAAAGAGGCAAAAAGGAAAACTATGGCGGCACCACAGACCCAAGGGAAGGCAAAGAAAGCAGTGGTGCAGGAGGAAGAAGAAGAGGAAGAGGAAGAGGAGCTTGAGCCACAGAAGTTGACCAAGGCTCAGAGAAAGGCAAGGAACTTGGCTCAAGGGGGGCAGGGCTCAGGAAAGGGGCAGGTCCGTCAAGCTGTAGCCATGCCACCTCCTGAGTCGCCTAGTCAGGCTGCACCAGCTCACTATGGGCCATGGCCAGGTTGTGGACCTTCGAGTCATTGGCATGGGCACTGTTCATACGCCCCGTGGCCAATGAGCGGGCCGCATGGGTCGTGCGCCGGACCATCAGTGAGCGCGGCTTCCTATGGCTGCCCGGGACCCCAAGCGCAACAAGTGAGCCACCCGAACCCACCGCCAAACCAACCCCAGCAGTCAGCCCCACAAGGTTCGCAAGGCAATCAAGGGGGTGGACGTGGACAGAACCAAGGGTGGAGCCGAGGACGGGGGAATGGTGGCCGTGGAGGAAATGGTAGAGGGAATGGTGGTGGTAACACTTCAGGTGGCGGAAACGAGGGTTGGACGGCATCTGGGAGTCAAGGCGGTCAAGAGGGTGGAAGAGGTGCTGGCAGAGGGAGAGTAGACTGGAGAAATGCCATTTGCTGGCATTGTGGGCAGAAAGGCCACACTATTAAGTTCTGCCACGTCAGGAGGAACGACGAGGACGAAGGTTTAATTAGCACCAACTATGATGGAGACATGTACGACAAGTGGGGGTACCACCTTGACCCGAAGATTCCAGGCGGTACGAGGAAGGAAGCCCTGCGAAGGGCTGAGGCCGGTGAGCCACCCGCACCCCCAGCAATGTTTCGGATATGGCAAGAGAAAGAGGTCCGTAGTGACGTCAGGGTGGAGGAGGTAGGAGAGAACGCAGAGGTGGAGCAAGAAAGGAAGGCCGACACTACTAAGGCAGAACCGATCATAGTAGAGTCCGACGATGAGATTGAGGAAGATTGCTGGAATAGGCCTTTGCGTGCTGAGACAGGGAAGATTATTGGAAAACGGCCCGACAGACAATGAAGAGAATGGAGGACCTGATAGACAAAGTCGGGAGATACCAACAGAAGCTGGCTGATATGTGCGAAGAAGTCAAGGGGTGGCAAGGTAAGGAGCCATCGGTATACCTCTACGACTTAGGTCCGGGGTCGCAAGGAGGGTCCGGGAATCTACCAAACGTCACGACCTCAGGAGCGACGCCTCGATCCGGAATGACCATTAGACCACCCTCAAGGACGAGGAGGGCGCCTCATGCTGTCAGGACGAGGGCTAAAGGGCCGCTGAGCCCCGAAGAACCGGCCAAGGATGTTCCTGAACCCAGTGGAGAGAAAGAGGTAGTGGATGTTCCAGAAGGAGAGAATGACGAAGATGATAAGTTGAGGAAGGAAGAGGATGAGAGGGCCGAGCAAAGAGCCAAGAAGAGGGGTGCCAGGCCTGATACAGACAAGGCACAAAAAGTAAAGAAGAAGAAGTACGTTGTCCGAGTGGAAGAAGGCTTCGATGTGGACGAGGTAATGAACAGAATCCTAGAGGGTCATAATCACCTTATGAACCTGAAGGACGTACTAGCCTCAACGCCTAAACTTAGGGATGAGTTAAGAGCAAGACTATCCAGGAAGATGGTAGCCAGCATACGATTGGGGACTATAATCCCTAAGGAGGCGGAGTGGGCTGAAACGGGAACTAAGATGGACTGGAAGTCTGTCGCCTGTAGCTGCCTCGACGTTGTGGTAAAAGGGAAGACGTGCACAGCAATGGTGGATAGCGGCATAAAAATGAACCTCATAAAGGAGGCAGATGCAGTGCGTCTAGGGATGGGGATAGACCGCTCCGACAACGGGGTTTTAATGGGGGCCAATAGCCGATCGATATTTATTGGGACCGCGTCGTCAGTGATATTGGAGATTGGAAAGGTGAAAGTATGGAGCTGCTTCTTTGTGATGCTTGACTTGGACCACCCTATTCTACTTGGGAGATCGTTCCTAAGTCGGACAGAGACGGTCATCCTCAACAAACACGATGGAACTATGTTCCTCGTCCTGTGTGACCCCGTGTGCGGGAATTATGAGGTCATCACCTGCAAGAACACAGGACCCAAGAGCGTAAGGAACCGGCCCAACCTTGCCTTTTGTTGTTACAACTGATGCGAGTCACTATGGCATTGGTGCTCTCCTACAACAAGACGAGGGCAATGGGTATAGACCCGTAGAGTTCATGCCCATTAGATTGCCGTCATAGAAGGTAACAACATCTACCTATGAGAGGGAACTCTACGCTCTCAGGCAAGCATTAGATCATCGGAGACACTAGTTGCTTGGGAGGCACTTCAAAGTCTATTCAGACCACGAGACATTGAGGTGGCTGAAGACGCAGGCCAAGATGACACCTAAGCTTACTAGGTGGGCCGCAAAGATAGATCAGTTTGACTTCGAGCTTAAGCCGGTCAAAGAGAAGTACAATGTGGTTGCAAACGCCCTTAGTAGAAGAGCCGACTACTTTGGAGTTGTGCTTCACTATTTAGATATAGGGTCAGACTTACAACAAAAAGTCATAGATGCATATGCGCGGGACCCTATCTACAACGACCTCCTCAAAAGAATCAAGGAGGACCCAGCCAGTGAACCTCACTACCGCACCACTAATGGATTGTTATTTGAGAAGACAAACATCATAGATCGGCTATGCATTCCCAATAGCGAGGAGATCCGTAGTTTGATCCTAATGTCATGATACAGAAGGGCGCTTCGGTTGGCAAAAAACGCTCGCCAACCTGATGCATGCCTACACGTGGCCTGACATGAAAGCTGACTGTATCGAGTATGTGCGTAGTTGCAAGGTGTGCCAGCGCAATAAAACTACGACGTGAGGCCCGTTGGGTCTTCTCAAACCCCTGCCTATCCCATCAGGACCCACAAATTTTGTGTCTATTGATTTCATGGATACTGGTGGTAAGAGTAGCCATGGCAAGAGCCCAGTCATGGTTATAGTTGATAGATTTATCACATATGCAGTTTTTGTTCCTTTACCTGCCGAGGCACGTACGGATCCAGTAATAGAAAAGTTCTTTGATCATTGGGTCTGTGAGCATGGTCTACCGCTGTCAATAGTTAGCGATAAAGATACCAGGTTCACTAGTCAGAACTGGCAGGAGCTTATGAAAGTATATGGTTCTGAGTTGTTGATGTCGTTTGGCTGCCACCCAGAGACTAACGGTCAGACCGAACAAATGAGCAAGATCCTGCAACAAGTTCTCAGAATGTACATTAGACCCAATCAAGTCAGTTGGGACGAGATGCTCCCAAAGGTAGCCAGTACTTACAATAATAGCATGCATCAAGCCACCGGTCGCACTCCCAACGAATTACACAAGTCCTTTAGACCCCGTAGACCGTTTGAGGGACTGAACTGGGACCAGATTCAGAGGCTACCACCCGGTACTAGGGTTCACGTTACAGCACGAGAAAGAGATTGCTAAAGTGGTAGAGAACCTCACGAAAGCCCAGCACAGGATGATAGAGCAAGCCAATAAGCATCATCGCCTGTCACAATTCCAAGTAGGCGACTTAGTCTAGGTCAAGTCTAAATAGTTTGCTCCCGAGGAGAACATCTCGCAGAAACTGTTGCCTGCGTATAGAGGACCGTGGCTTGTCCTAGAAGTCAAGGGTGGAGATGATGGGCCCTCCTACATGATAGAGATCCCAGCACACCTCCATACATATCCAATTTTCCATGCATCAAAGTTGTTACCTTGCACGACGAGTCAACAATTTCCGTGGACGAGATCGATGCTCCCTCCAGATATGGACGGAGGGTACGACATTGATCGCATAGTAGATGAAGACGTGTTCAGAATAGGAGGTAGAGGCCGTCCACAAAAACAGTACAGAGTTCGATTCGCTTACCAAGAGCCGGAAGACGACTGCTGGTTTACACAGACAGAACTTGCTCCCAACATAGTCCGTGCCTACGAAAGAGTGAAGAAAGGTAAAGATCCTATTGTAGTAGATTGAGTTATTCTCGGAGGACTTCGAAATTAGGCCAGCGGGAGTGAAACGGTTTTCACCTTTACAGTAATCCCCAGACCTCGCCCTTACCTGTGTACAATATCAGTTGCCCTGTGTGTGTTTGAACCCGCAACCTGTGTCCTGAAAGTCGCCTGTTTGCTTGTTGTAGGTAGTCTGGTCGTTGGGTCTCGAACTGTAGGTCCGTAGGCTAGAAGTATTAGCAGTGGTAGGAGTCGTAGCTGCTACAGTCCCGAAGAGTCAACGTCGTAGCTGCTACAGTGCCGTAGGGTCAAGCTGACAGTCTTCCGGAGCTTTCGGAAGCGACCTTTCGTAGGTCTTAGGAGGTAGACCGTAGGCAAGTGGGCAAGTGGGCAGACTAATTCTGCCCAGACAGTGGTACCCAGTCCCAGTCACACTTTGTCAAGTCAGCAAGTACCATGTGGGACTGTGTGCAACCGGGCCCAGCATCCAAAGGCAGACCTTTGACATTCCGAAGTATAAGTCAAGAGGCAGCGTCAACTCATTCATTCATTCATTCTGCCTGTGAGCCATGCGGAAGTGCTGCCTGAGCGTCTTGTGCAAGGAGGTCTGCAGGTGCCCATGGAGTAGAGGGCTAAGAGGAGGAAGATCAGCTATGGCCAAAGGTGTTAGTGGTAGGAGATAGACTGCAGCCATAGCCGCCATGTCAGCATGTCAGTAGGGTGTTAGTGCGAGAGAGAGTTGGTTGTGTGTGTGTCGGGACATCCAGGGAGATCAGTGTGTGTGTACGAACAAGTTGCTGAGAGTGTACGTGTCGACCATGGCTGACCACGACAGGTTTGAGTATGAGTTGTGTTCTTGGCTTCATTATCTCTGAGCTTTGTGTGGGCGCTTGGCACCAGATTGATCGTCATCTGTTTGTATGCATGCTGAAAGTCGAAGTCGTCGAAGTCTGATTGCAGGGTTAACTAGTGACCATATCGACACGATCGCGGACGAGAGAGAGAGTAAAGAGAGAGAGGACACTGAGTGTTGCACCTGAGGGCGTCCCGTATTCACGGCAGGTGGAGGGCCCAATAAACTGTTCAGCTCCACATTACGGCTGGCACGGGTCGTAACGTTTGGTCAAAAGGCTGAAACAGGGGTCAATAGTCATGCCCCAAGTCTGACCAATGACTGGGAAAGGGCCTAGGGTCAACGTGTATCCAGGGCTGAGTCAAAAACAGCAGCCAGAGGCCCCACGTGAGGTAGTTGGCTCTCGGAAAATCAAGAGTCAGACCACGCACGGGAAAAGCAGGCCCGAAGTCAAAGTCAACCCAGTAGTCAGCGTCGGCCACACATTAGATGCACATCAATGGTGGTCTGTGGGTATCTGGAAGATTCCAGTCCCGACTTGAAAAGGTACGGCTGCTTCAAGGCTGCATCCAGGCTGTCGAGATCAGGCAAAACTGAAGCGTGGACACCGTCAAAGGGGAGACTGGTCCATGCCAGTCAACAATAGTCAATGCTACAAAAGGACGGTCAGACACTGGGGAAGGCATTCTGCCTTGCACTCGCTCGATGCTAGTGCTGCTATGCAAGGCTGCTGGAGTGAGACACTGGCGCCAGACACTGCTGGAGGGCGCCAGCTTAGAGGGTGACTATGTTGGCACGGCCATAACCGCCATAGCTGTAGACCAGTTGCTGGGGATTGGCACGGAGGAGGAGGATCTGGGCTGTGGGACTGACGGGAGATGAGGGGAAGCTTACCTGGACTTACCTGGCGTCGACACATGTGAACTACTCCTCCACGAAGTTGAGGAAGTGCTGCGCCGTCCTCCATATCTTATTGCAGGCGGCCTGTGATGATCTGCACAGTGATTATGTCAGAGGACATTA